TATTATTAGTATTCCATCATTATATACTGTTTTCTTATCATTTTTATTTATTACAAGAAGTAGAAATTATACAATAATTATAGTCTATCGTTTTATTAAATTGTAAGTTTGCTCCATTTTTATTTTAGATTATGCAATCAGTTCCTCAAACTTTTGCATTGTTTAATTTTTTGTGATATCTCATTAGATTTCTCATTAAATATTTATGCATAATCAACAGGAAATTATAATGGGAGCATAATCAGTGTGATTTTATAATAAATGAGGATATCACAAGAGAGTATAAATGTTAATAGATTATACATCACAACATCGTGGACGTTTTTATTACAACTGGTGTAACTCTATTAATTTTTATCATTGTGATATTTATTACATCAGTTTCTATGTTATAATTTATGTTTCGATTAATCTAAATGCGACTGTGTAAGTCAAAACTAGTTTCGCGTTTCTTTAATATTAACTTAAACACATTAAATTAATTTATATTATTTAATATCCAATGTAATAGCTCGTCTTTGGCCGTATTCTATTTCGAGTTTATATTGTTTTTCCATAACATGCAAGCCAAATTTATTTAATTTTTTTGTTTTGTAAAATTTTATTGTATAAAAATTTATTTCTTTTTAATGTTTTTTGACTTCAAAATTAAAAAGTACATAGGAAAAGAATAAGAGAGAAAAAATGTTTTTTTTTAATGTAATTGATTTTTAAACTTATTCTACAATGTGCTTTTTGCTTTCTGCTTCTTGTTTTTTGTTATTTTTTACATCTTGTCTTTTGCTTCTTATCTGGTTTTTCGTTTTCTATTGCCCGAGATAAAAATTAACGGACGGATAAAAATTCGGAAGAAATAGGAAACAAAGAGCAAGAAATTGTCATTAAAACGGTCGCAAAGAGGGGAAAAAGCAAAAGATAAAACACAAAAAATAAGAAACAAAGAGCACATTGCAGAATAGGCTTAAAACGTTCAAAAAAAATTTATTTATTATTTTAAAAGTGTTTAAAAATTTTTGAAAAAATTTATATTAATTAAACATATTATAATAAAAGGATAATTTTCGTATAGTTTGTTTTAGAAAAAAATCAAGCTTAAAGAAATGTAAAAAAATTGTTCATATCTACGAAGGTCGTCTGAAAAGTTTTGAGCCTCAACATGAAGATGGCATTACTGGTCAAAATCATTCTCTGGTACTACAATCGTACACCCAAGGACTTCGATTCTTTCCCTCGGTTATTTTTTTTAAAACTTCCAAAAATTCAAGTTATTTCGTCTTTGCGTCAAATTTAGTTGTAAACGAACGTAAGGTTCGTTATTCGTTCATCCGTATTTTATTCGTTTATCTAAAATTTTAAAACACATTTTCTTATTTGTATATTTACTCGTAAATTGTGTTATTTTAACATTAAGAAATATTAAATATCGATTATACAAAAATATTTAAATATCATAATCACATTATATGTAAAATTATATATATTATAATACTTAAAAATGCTAAAAATTTAACATAATTTTAACAAGGATTTGAATGGATTGTTTCTAACACCAAATGCAAGCACAAACGCACATATATAAATTTTTATAATAATTTTATATAATTTATAATTTTTTAGTAATTTAGTATCAGAATGTATTTTAACCCTTTTTTATTTGAGATATAATTTTTAATAAATAATAAATGAAAATTAAAAAATCAAATGAAAAATACTTTATTAGAAACTATATAATTTTGTTTTAGAAAAAAAAGAAAGGTTCGTTATTATTATAGTCATTCATCTCATAAAGATAATAGTCGGCATAAACTATAACATAATGTGCTAAAAATTGTAATTATAAAAATTATTATAAAATAATAACTATAAATATATAAAATTTTTTAGAACAAAAAATTGTTCTGAACACTCGATGTATCAGCTTGAGTATTTTTACTTTAAAACATTAAGTAATAAAAAGATATAAAATAAAAAAAGATAAATCGATTCGTTACGCTAATAATGGCACTATCACAGATATGATCAACTTGTCTCAATAAGTTTTCTTTTTTTCATGAAAATTCTAAAATAATCACAGGTACTTTTGCAAGATTACAAGATCTTTCTCACACTTTTCGAGATAAATCAAGAAATTTCTCGCGTGAATTATTTATCGAATCGCGCGACACAATACAATCGTCACATTTGGACACTTCGGATCCATTTATCATTTACACGACTGTTATTAAGGAAACAAAATGTTCGGAATATTTCATCAGAATACGCGAATCAGAATTCTATATGTATTGTGATTGTTCGTGTAGCAACTGACATATTTAGCAATTTTCGTTCTTATCGAGGCGCATTGTTTTTAAGATAGCTAGACTTATTACATCTGAAACACACCAGCCTTGCCTGACTTAATTATAAAAGTTTTTAGCGTATTCCCATCCAAATTTGCAAAACTTTCCGTCTGTGTCACAGCCATCATATGATTAATAGCAAACCTAATACAAAATTCTTCTAGCTCCTAAATATTAGGTTAATGAACTATTACTAAGCGTTAATAAAGATAATGTTTAATTACCTCTTCATTGTATTAAACTGCAACGCTGTACAAGTAAGCAACGTTCGATACGCTAATTCCTTGCTTTATTATCTGAATGCAGTGCTTCATGAGATTATTCTCGCAGTAAGCATCAGCAAAGTCCAAAAGTTCTATAATAAAAGACATTATTCCGACACTCAAGCCAATAACTGGTTTATGATGTATTCGACTTACCTGTCGCTTTCTCCATAGGTAAATTGATCATGCCAGAGCATAAGTATTTCAGGAAGGCTTTGTAGATGACATAGGAAAATTGATGACACTATCAAAATTTGGTAATTTTTATTTAAATAACAATGATCCTTTGTTAAATAATTACCTTTGATTGTTTTTCGACCAATCATATCGAAACATGTTTCTAAAATACGAACAGCGGATTTTGAAAATAGCTTTATGCACAAAGATACTTTGACCCTCCACTTTTATTGTGAGATCACTTGTATGCTATATCAAGACAAAAATTATTAGAGACAAATGTGTGCAATATTAACTAAGTACACAAAATATTAGTCGCTATATTTGTTGTTAATGAATTAAAATCAAGAACAATGTATTACACAGTTTTAAGTGTTAATTAAAATGCTCATCCTTAGCTCAAGTATTTTTTTCCTCCTAAAAGGAATTCTTTGAATTTCTGTTAAAAAGACTCAAGCTAAAAACTGTCTTATTATTGGTGCTTTCCAGCAAGGACACAGTCAGATACTGTGTTACACAGTCGAAATATCACAGTAATATTTTGGCAATATGATGTCTTAAATAATTAAGAATGACATTATAATTAATAATGCTTTTATGTTTTATTAACATTAGAGATGTCATTAAGACGTTATTAAAATATCACAAAATTATACATACACACACATAATTTAAGTAATATTTAGTTTATTATAATATTATATAATAGTTATTGTATTGACAATCAGTATTATTTTCTAATATTATATA